AATCAAGATGCATTGATAAGTACTGGTGATTGGAATTAGTGGTTGGGAAACGGCCTTGGTGGTAAAAATAATGTTGGAGATCACATGGTAGAATTTTAAAAGACCAAGTACTTATTCCTTGTAAATAACTTTTTCAACAGTGACTATATACGTGACCCTTCCCAGATAAAATACACAAGAATCAAATCAACTGTGGAAAGAGTTCATTACCATTAGTCAGAACAAAGTCATAGGCCAGCTGTAGACCACCAACTGCTGAAGAAAATCAGAACACGTCCACGAGAGTCAAAAAATGACCTTGAATATATCCCATCTAAATTTAAAAACTGTATCAAGATTAAATTTGACACACTGAACACCAATGGCTAAAGTTGTGGATGGACATCAAGAACACCAAACATAAAAAAAGCAAAACGTCATTAAAAAGACAGGAAGAAAGCAAAAATCAAAATGGAGGTCTAGAATGTAGAATATCTAAAGCTAAAGGAAGAAATGATCACAGAAAAGAGCTGAACATAAGATTTGAAAGGGTAGCTCAAGATAACAAAGTTTTTACAATGAAATTTGCAGAACCTGACGTTAGAACTCAAAAGGGCAAAAACACTCAGCATCTCTCAAGCTGAAAGAAACAGAATAAAAGAATCAAGTCTCAAATTGTAATAATAAAGGGTTCATGGGCAAAATATTGAACAAAACAGAAAGCATCAAAAGATGGAAGGAATACACAGAGTCACTGTGCCAAAAAGAATAGATCAATATTCCACCAATTCAGGAGATAGCATATGACCAAGAACTGACAGTATTGAACCAAGAAGTCCAAGATGCACTGAAGGGATTGGAGAAAAATAGGCTCTGGTGGTGCTGGTGGCGGTGTGCTGTGGAGTCGGTTCCAACTCATAGTGACCCTGTGCAGGGTTTCCAAGGCTGTAAATCTTTACAGGAGCAGAAAGCCTCATCTTTCTCCCATGGAGCAACTGATGGATTCGAACTACTACCTGTGGTTAGCAGCCCAACTTATTTTTTTTAAAAATTAATCTTATCAGGGGGAAATATGTGAGAAGTAGCAAGGCACAATGAAAAGAAGACAAGATTTGGGCTCAAAGGGATCTTGTATTTAAATTCTGGCTCAAATTCTTACTGGCTTGTGAGTGCTTGAGCAAACTGCTTAATTGATGTATGTCCTACTTTCTACAACCTGTAAAATGGGGACTTACAGTATATACCTTTGAAACAGCAAACCAGCAAACTTGGCACCTGAAACAAGCTATACAAAACCAGCTTTCAAATAAACTCTGTAATTTATAATGTAGCCCACAGATGGGTGTTACTGACAATGCTCACCATCTGGTAGCTTCCTGTTTTAAATAATTATCCTTGCTAACTAGGTGCCAAGCTTTTAAAATCATTATATTAAGTGTTTGCACCCTCTAAATTTTGGTAACCTTTAGAAAAAGCTCAGTATGATCATCTTAGAGTATTGTTTTGAGGGTTAAAAATAATGTAAGAAAAACTACTTGCACAGTGTCAGCCATGTTGCTGTGGTTTTTTAAAACATTTCATTAATACCTTTATGTCCTCCGTTAGCCACTCTACATTATCACAACTATTCCAATCTACTCACATTGCAAATACAGCTTAACCAAGTGCTTCCAGTATTATATAAACAAGATGAGAAATAGAAGGATGATAGGTACTACACAGTCTCTTCAAAGATTCAAGTTGATTCCTCTGACCTTGACTTTTGTACTTTCTCTCTTAAATCTGTATACACCTGATGATTTAGAAGAGTGGAAGGAACCTTACTTTCAAAAGCCATATCTACACTGAGGAAACAAGTGTCGGGTTCAAAATGAAAACGCAAAGTTACCACTATCCCGATATGCTTTTTCACTGCTGGATGGATAAACAGAGCTGCTTCTATTGTGTTTTGCATCTAGCCTCAGCTGTGCAAATGCCAGTTAAGGAAGAAAAACATTAGGTCATCTCTATCAGATAAACTCCGATAGAATGAGTACGTCTATATTCATAGAGCTGTGAGTAATGAAATAAAACTTGGAACTCAAAAGAAACCCTGTATAAAGCACTCCTACTTAGCTTTTAGAAAATTTTGCGTTTGGGATTATCAAATATCTAGACATAATCATTTTATTGTAAAGCATGCCAATCCAAAGTCATAGGTAACAACTGTTACAATAAGAGTTAAACTAAAATGATTTACAGGTACTGCCGGTTATAGCTATGCTTCAAAAACAATTTTGTGACACTGGAACAAACTTTCCCCAAGGAAGTATCTCTTCTGCTCATAAATGTCAAATAAAGCTTACATGCTACAGTACCAATTTTCCCACAAATTAAGGGATAATGTCCATCTGTCTGTTAGTTGGTGACTGATACACTTTTAAACAGAAGCCATGGATCAGCATTGCTGTGACTTTACATTTGACAGTCAAATATATAGCAATGAGTACTAAAACACAGATGATTTTACATATTGGCTAAAAATGTCAGAAACTACTCAATGGCAGTGGGTTTTTGTTTTGTTTTGTCTTGTTTATGATGCAGGTTTCCATCGTTTGCATGAACAAATCCTAAAGGACTAAAAGATAATTCATTAATTTTTAAGTTTTAAAATTTGAAGGCATATAACAAAAAGAAACCCAACTCAGGCCAGGAATGGAGACAGTAACTTCAGGAAAACAGACCTACATTAAATAGGAGAAATAAGATTAACTGGTAATGTTCTTAAGACAGAGATCTAGTTTGGGTATCAAGTTCTAATGGAGAAATAATTCACCACCATAATCAGTAAAGTAACTAACCAAATGATACATCCTTTGATATTTGCCGATATGCATTCATAATTCTCATTTGAAAGCAACGATTTTTATTTTTCTGGTGCCATCAAGTGGCAACATAATGAAGTGTTCTGAGATTAATGGAAATAACTTTTAGACAGAAAAAATGCCACAGTGATGTGTTTTAGCTTATGTCAATTAAACACCAGTGATGTTTTAGCACATAATTATTTGGGGAAAATATCAAAGCAGTTTATTTGCAAATCATCCCCATTTTAAACTCCCAGTTGGGAGTTAAGACAAAGCACAAAATGAATAATCTTTAAGATCAAAATGCTCTATTAGCAAGCAAACATGCAAACAAAAGCCAATAGACTATGAAACCACTTGAAAAATTAAATCAGGATCAAATTGATATACCAATCAAACCATGAGAAAAATGGCATCAGAGTTAACTTATCAATTAGAAACCTTAAAAGTGACAGCTAAAATTACATAACTGTATCAAGAAGACATAAATACTGGAATCAATTATTTGAAACTATGTGATAACAGGTTCCAAAGGATTATACCAGGCAGTTGCTGTTGCTGTTATTAAGTGCCATCAAGTCATTTCCAACTCATAGCAACCCTGTACAGGGTTCCCAAGGAGCAACTGGTGAGTTTGAACCGCCAACCTTTAAACCTTGTGATTCAAGCTGACCTTGTGGTCCAGTGCTGTATCCCACAGTGCCACACCAGGACTCCAGAAAGGCAATCGTTACCACCAAAAGAACAACAGGATTCCAACTCCTCACACTGCAATAATACACAAAGCATTCATAGCTTTTGATCCTCAGATCCAACCAAATAGGTATCTAATGTGAAATCTGAACACATAGATGGCAAATTAGACACATTTATGTAGCCATACTCCTTCTGAAATCCCATAAGCATAGCTGTAAAAGATTCTGTTTTAAGGCAAAAGCCCACAAAAACAAAGGGATTGGGAGAGAAAATAGCGGCAATAAACTTTGAGAAACAAGGAATGAAGTGGATGAGTGATTGTTAACATGGGAGACTTAAGAAAGGAGCCTGATTTACATGGCACTGTAAAACTCTTCCCAAGTTCAGGAACTGGCAGCTCTAGGTAGAGCTGTGGATACAAGGATCACGGCTACAACCAACAAGCGTATTGGGCAATATAAGAAGCAGTGAGCACACATACATACGTATTCCCTCTTGCACTTCACACAGTCAGGTGTGCACCCTTATCCCAACCCACTGTAAGACTTTTGGACTACAGGACATAAACTATAGTGGAGTAGGGTGAGGTGGGGTAGGGAGAACTGTAATAAAATATTAACCAGAGAGGAAACTGCCAGCCTTCTGGAATGATGTTGACAAATCAAAGTTCACAAAACAACAATGAAAATTATGATGATATTTCTGGAGAAAAACCTGCTATGAGAGGTCACATCAACCTCTGATTATTGTTGTCTAAATATCATGTTACAACAACACGCTTCATTCTGCTTTTATAGGAAAAAAGGCAAAGGACTAAAAGCCGATGCTTATTTTAAAAGTACTACTTTAAAATTCAGTTACATTCAGCTCTGTTTGCCCTAGATCATCTTCATTAATTAGCTGAGGATTTATTGCAAATAATGAATAACTGAATGGTAGGCAAAGCCCAAGACTCTACACTCTCAGCTGGAAACACCATTTCATTTTGTCTCTTCAGGCAATCAAAAATAAATGTACTACATAATCCCTGGCCAAATCAGAAGAAACATAAACTACATTCATATGGAAACTTGTTGATTTAACAGAATCCCATTCATGTGGATTAACTGCTCAAAGTAAAGGGTTGAATACCTCTGATACTGTTTTACATCTCATATAACTAAAAGTAAATAACAAACTCACTGCCATCGAGTCAATTCCAACTCACAGCTACCCGACAGGACAGAGGAGAACTGCTCCTTAGGGTTTTCGAGACTATAAATCTTTGTGGGAGCAAACAACCTCATCTTTCTCCCACAGAGCAGCTGGTGAGTTTGAACTGCCACCAGGGCTCCTTAAAGCTCCAGTCAGTTCTATTTGTCGGTCTTGTTTCTATGTAGGATTATAAAGAAGATAAAGTCATATAGATATACCCCCCTCTCCCCACTAAATACCAACATAAGAACATGCCCAAACACATTAATTTAGATAAAACTGTACCTTGAACACCTTCTAAGAGTAAATCCACTCCCTTCCTATAAAAATCAGAAGCAGCTTCATAGTCCTCTTCTTCTTCCTTTTTTAAAGCCAGCTTTATTAATTCTCCTGCTTTCTCCAAATAATCTTTCTTGCCAAGTTTATGTTTTAAACTGCCAGGAAAGAGGCTACGGCTTTCCCGTTGTTCTTCTTCTGTTTTGTTCTGTTCACTGTCAGAAGCGAGAGCCCCTAGGGCTGAAGAATCCAAAGAAAGATTGAGACCAAAAGTTCTAGTGGGAGAATTTTGATTGGAAGCCATTCCATCATCTAATTCAGCAAGAGAATCCACATCAACGGTAAGAGATATGAGATCACTGTCACTGGAGAAGCCTAGAAATAGGATCACAACAGTAAACAGATATTAATTTGAGAATCAGCCAAAAGAATACAAATCATTCTGACTATTTCGGTTTTTTCATACTTTCCAAGTCAATTAGGAAGCCTGTAATTTACTGATGGACATCAGTATCTACCCATATGGTTCAGCATAGTTCATTCATTTTTGCACTCTCTCTCTGCAACTCTGGAGTAAAATCTCTTTGCCTTCAATATCAAACTAAAACTGAAGACATGTCTTTATATGTATGGTCTTGTTTTCCAAAAGAACCTGTACCACAAGAGCTTGTGAACTGTTTATAGAAAGCTGTTGCTATACTCACAGCTGATGTAAATAATAACACTACAACATAAGAAAAAACTAGGAGCTTGGAAGTCAGACAAGAAGCATCTAAATATCAGTTCTTAGTCCCTTAACAATGCCAGTTACACAGGGTTTTACACAATGCATATGAAGCATGACAGACCATCATGACTATTATAATAATGCCGACACAATGCAGACTTATAGGTGTGCTTTTAATAACCACCCATATTTAAAAGGTACACTGCTTTGTTTTGTTTTGTAAGGATGAACTTCAATTGTAATTGTTTCAGAATCTTCCACATGCTTTTATAAAGAACTTGGGTCTGCATTTGAACCTTGTTTTCTAACAGAAATGACTGGCATTGTAGGATAAGCAGTAGAAGAGACATAAAATATTAAAAAGACAAGTCTCTAAGGTTGAGATTTAGTAAGAGCCTCATCAGGGACATTCCTAAATGACACTAGTTTGATTTTACTGCAAATACACACCATGATTACAGGTACAGTTTTGTGTCACTGTCTTAATTCATGCTAAGGCATAACAATTTTACCCATCTTTGCTTTGATACCTTCTATGTAAATATCAATATGGAGAAAAAGACAAATGGCCAAATGTAATCATCAAAATAGTTTTCGCCTTGCACATCCCCTGAAAAGATCTCAAGGATATTTTGAGAGACACTGTCCAGTACCATTAAACAGAGAAACTAAGAGTTGGGTGGAAAATAGGCTTGGGAACAACTATGAGTTCTGGATCACCACTGAATATTGACTGTCAAGTCTGCCAGAAAAGAAAATAAACTAAGGAGAAAACGATTTCCTAGGATCATTCCCCAAGTAAAAATTAAGGTGAATTAGACTATACCATTCTACATCACAGATCAGCAAACTTTTTTCCATAAATGACCAGATAGCAAGTATTTTACTTCATAGACAACACAGTCCCTGTCATTACTACTGAACACACTGCTGTTACAGCACCTAAATAATGCATAAGTGAGTGAGCATGGCTGTATTCCAATAAACCTTTATTTACAGACACTGAAATTTAAATTTCATATAATTTTCACATGTCACATGTCATGTCACAAAAGTGTTCTTTTTTTAAATCATTAAAAAATATAATAGCCATTCTCAGCTCATAGCCAGACAAAAAAAAAAAGTGGCTAGCCAGATTGTTAAGTGCCATAAAGTTGGTTCCAACTCATAGTGACCAGATTTTGATCATGAAATATTGGTCATATGATTGAAAGGTCAGGAACTGAAGATATTTCTATTAGGTCTAATAAATCTTATCTGAAATTGTGGATTTAATAAAATCTTGTTGCTTTCAGAGAAAAAAATTAGTTCGTTCTAGGTATTTTAAAGGATTGTTGTTGAGTGCCATCGAGTCAGTTCAGACTCACAGCTACCCTGTACAGGGTTTCCAAGGAGCAGCTGGTGGGTTTGAGCTGCCAATCTAGAAGTTACAATCCAGTGCTCATCCTACAAGCACCACAAAAGGAATCCTATTTTAAGGATTAGGGAATCAAAAAAGAAAACTGAAAATGAGGATATATTGACAGGGTACCAAAGCAGTGTTTAAAGTGAATCTGAAATTTGAACTTAGCTGTCAGCAGCATTTTTTTACCCTTATATATTTCATTTGCACAGTAGAATAGGAATTAGCAAACTACAGTCTTTGGCTAATTAAGCCCTATTATATGAGGCTGGAGTCCTGGTGTGGCACTGCAAAGTTTGAATTGCAAGGTTGGTATTTTCAGTAAGGCTTATATACATGTGAAAGGTGAACAATGAATAAGGAAGACCAAGGCACCATAGAAGAACTGAAGCATTTGAGTTACGGTGTTGGAGAAAAACATTGAAAGTACTATGGACTGCTAGAAGCCCAAACAAATCTGTGTTAGAAGTACAACCAGACTGCTCCTTAGAGGCCAGGATGGAGAGACTTTGTCTCTCATACTTCAGACGTATTATCAGAAGGGACCAGTCCATTGAGAAGGACATCAAGCTTGCTCAAGTGGGGGTTAGCTGGGGGGTGGGGGGGTGGAAAGACCCCCCCAGTGAGATGCACTAGCATAGAGACAATAGCAATGGGCTCAAGCTTAACAACGTTTGTGAGGATGGGCAGGATGACAGTGTTTTGTTCTGTTGTGCATAAAGTTGCTATGAATCGGTACCAACTCAACAGCACCTAACAACAACATTATATAAGCACTGGACTGCTAACCGCAAGGCTGGCAGTTTAGACCCAACACAGCTCCTTAGAAACCCTATACAGAATTGCTGTGAGTTGGAACCAAATAGAAGGTACTTAACAACAACAATCCTTAAAATAACCTGAACAAAAGAATTTCTTTCTCTGAAAGCAACAAGATTTCATTAAATTCACAATGTCAGATTAGATTTATTAGACCTAATAGAAATCCTTCAATTTCTGGCCTTTCAATCATACAGCCAATACTGCATAATTAAGATCATTTACATCAGTCTATAATGTTACTTGGTAGCATAGTGGTTATGAATCAGGCTGCTAATCTCAAGGTTAGCAGTTCAAAACTACCAGCTGTTCCCCAGAAGAAAGATGAGGCTTTCTGCTCCCGTAAGGATTTACAGCCTCGGAAACCCTGTACAGGGTCACTATGAGCCAAAACCAATTCCACAAAACATAACAACAACATGTTACTTATTTGCTGTTCTGAGTACATGAACTTTATGAGAATTTTAAGAAAACTCATTGAAAAATATTTTATGTATGTCAATGAAAATTTATTTATTAAAATGATGCCTTTAGGTAATCTGGTCCATTGATATGAAAACCACGTAGAAAAATTGTCGCGGGGGAGGGTGGGGACTGGTTTATACAACCAACCACAAGAGGAAGGAAATGCTGTGTTACAGACCCTAAGTCTGTTCTCTGATGTCGTGTCATGATAACCTTGTACTGTTTCATGATATTCCCTTACAACAAGAACAACAACACTAAAGTTATGTGTACTCAGTTTTTTGCCCTTTGATCACAAAAATTTAGTGACATAGTCACACTTCCTCTCACCTTCCCAAAAGTGACTCTTGATTAACTAAAATTAAATCAGAAAGGACCAAGATCATTAAAAACACCCAGGGAAAGAGTAAGATAGTAAATATCCTATACAAACTGCTTCTACCTAGTTATAAGGGAAGAATCTTTAAGAATAAACAAGCTATCAGGTTAGGAAACGGACTTACCTTATTTTTGTTTTTTAACACCAAACTGGAAGAAACAAAGGGAAGCAAGAAGACTTTTTCTAATACACATATAAGCACATATGAGGGGGATTCAAAAAGTTCATGGAAAAGATGAAAAGATAATGGAATTTTTCCACGCATTTTTTAAGTCCTCTATTATATGACAGGAACTCATGCTGCTGAGTGTATAACAGCTTCACATTTTTTGGAGGACAATTTGGCAACGGGTATCAAAAAAAAAAAAAAAGTTTCTGTTTTTGGCCCAGAAATCCAGCAATTTACACCAAAAACAATCACAGATATGAACGAAAATCTAAGAATGTCCATCACAAAAATTATTTGTGGGGAAAAAAAAAAAAAAAAACTGAAAATTATACAGATTCTTTGTAATAGGAGATTGTACTATACGAGAAAATACAAGGAACCCTGGTAACACTGTAGGATAAGCAGTGCACAGGTAGCATAGTGGTTATGAATCAGGCTGCAAACCTTAAGGTCAATAGTTCTAAACTACCAGCTGTTCCGCGGGAGAAAGATGAGGCGTTCTGCTCCTGTAAAGATTAACAGCCTCAGAAACCCTGTACAGGGTCACTATGAGTCAGAACCAACTCCACAGCACATAACCACCACCACCACTAATCACAAAGTCACCAGTTCAAACCCACCAGCAGACAGGAGAAAGATGAGACTTTTTACTCCTGTAAAAAGTTACAGCCTAGGAAACGTTACACAGGGTCGTGAGTCAGAATCGACTTGATGACATGACAGTGGGGGTTGTGAGAAAATATGACATAAATCAAAATGAAACCCACTGTCTAGCTGATTCTGACTCATAGTGACACTATATAACATAGTAGAACTGTCCCATTGGGTTTCAAGCCTGTAAATCTTTACAAAAGACTGCTTCATCTTTCTCCCGTGGACCAGCTGGTAGGTTCAAACAGCTGAACTGTCAGTTAACAGCCCAATACTTATGTTATAGAAGAATAATTAGTGATAAACTATTCACGATGCATTATGTAAAAAGACAAACTGTAAAATAATGTGTGTACTCTAATTCTAATTAAAATGCACAAACACACAGGGGAACAAAAAAGACTAGAAAACTACAGTAAATATTAACAATGACTTGACTGCTAGTCACAAGGTCGGTGGTTCAAGCCCACCAACCACTCCCCAGAAACCTTATACAGGGTCACCGTGAGTAAGAACTCACCCCTCAGCACTTAACAACGATTATCTTCATGAAGTAGACTGCCACATCTTTCTCCCGCTGAGCCAATAGTGGATTCAAACCACCAACCTTCCAGTTAGCACCTGAGGGCTTAACCACTGCACTACTAGAGTTCCTTGAAGTGGAGACTACTACCCTTAAACACAGAAAGTTAACAGTGAGATCCAGAGAACAGCAAGCAAGTAAGAGATTATCAGTTAGGACAGAAAGAATAGTGTGGTTAAC